ATATATATCTGATAATATTAACACAACCTTAAAAGCTGTACTACTTTGATTCAGGAAAACAATGAAAAGATAGAAGATATGCTGACATAAACTAATTTCAACACTGGTTTAATAACATTTTAAAGCACTTTTTCGCTCTTCTAGGAGCTCAGTCAGAAATAATGTCATATATACATGCTAGTCTAAAGCAGTGGTTCTCAACCTTTTTTTGCCAACGGCACACCATGGAACACATAAAAAAAAATAGCGGCACACTTGGCTAAATATATATTTGAATTTTGTAAAATAAAAACATGGTAAGTCAGACGGAATACAACCGTAGACAGAGACTAGTCATAGAAACAATACAACTGTAGATAGAGACAAGTCATAGACACACAAAATGACTCAAACTAAATGAAGAAAAACATAGATATGAACTGATCAGTAGACACCAGTGAATATCCATTTGGGATCACATGGTTTTTAACATTTTCTTAGTGTGCCGTTCAAAATTTCGCGGCACACTGGTTGAGAATCACTGGTCTAAAGAAATAAGCAGGTATTGATTAATTGTATTCTATAGAATTGTGACCTCACTGACCTGTGTATGTTAGTTAAATAGGCATTATATGCTTCTATAGATTAGAATACACAATAGATAACATATACACATATACAGTATACATAGGATAATAACTCCATATAAATACGCAATAATACACAATACACAAGGGATAATTCACATTGTATTACATTGTATTATATATATAATACACATGGGATGCTAAATAAATATATATTACAATGAATGAAATCAAGTTTAACATCCTACTTTTCTGCTCCAGTCGGGCTGATGAAGATGTACATACACCAGGCAGTGTATTCTGTGAATTCTTTCTTAATTTATTTTCTAAATGTCAGAATTATTTTCAAATGAAATAAATCATATTCTCAACGTTAATTATTTTCATAACTACTGGCCCTTTTTCTGAATAGGTAGAATTTTGCCCTGGCAGCATCTACACTGAATTCTCCATTGTAAACTGATTAAGTGTCATTTTTGAAATAAAGGAAATGTGTTCAGAGCAGCATCCTTACTGGTATCACCATATGACAACTGCCCAAGTGTCTTTCAAAATGAGCTCAACTCAAACAATGTTTTACAACAGCAAATATCCCCAGCTAAAAAGAAAAATATGGCCCCTGTCACCTTTATTTACTATGGGCACAAAACCTGCTTAAAAATCATAACTGGTGAATTTAATCCTTTCACTAATCTTTTAATAGCCAATGTAAATATTCTGGTCGCTAAATATAACTGGTGTATTCGTGGACGTCGTCGGTGTGTAATTGAGTGATAGTTGTCCAAGCTACCTGTTCCTTTATGAAGCATTCTGCCCACAGAGAACTACTTACTTCGAGAATAGGATCTCTGATCTATTAAGACAGCCTATTAACATGATTTTATAAGAAAATCAGACTAGTTTACTTTAATGCCCCAAAAAATGAATTTTAAAATTTCAGGTAAGAGAGAGAGAGAGAAAGAAATGGGGTTTAACATCCACTCAACACAAACTAGGTTATTTCGGGACTAACAGAAATGGGTAAAACGTCCACTTGACACAGACTAGGTCATTACGGGACTAACAATGACAGACCTTATGATATAGCGCGCATGAGCTAACCATTCGGCCATCCAACCCCCCAGGTAAGAAAGACTATACAAAACACAATTTCATCCAAATATTGAAGTTGGTACTACTTGCCTCGTAGTTAGGCAACTGTCACAAGACATTGCCAGGCCTAATCTGTCTGATCCCTGGCACAGATTACATGGATATCATTGCTTTAAATGATATATGTATATATCCAACTGGGCTAATGTAGACGGGCATACGCCATACAGTGTGCTATGAGGGAAATTTTACCCAGACAGCGACAATATGGCCTACTCTTATATCGAATTCTAACTGCCAAGGGATCTTTTACGTGCATGCCAATGAATACGGGGGACGTTGGTTTTTCATACCATCCAAAAGACTAGACAGTTGTCCTTGTCAGGCGTTCCATCCTGCACCACTGACAACCAGAAAATCACCCCTAAGGACATTAACCTCTAACATTTCATCAAACTGATCAAATATCATTTCTGAAAATCAAATTTAAAAAAAAAATGGACTTCTGACAACCAACCAGTAATCTCCAGGTGATCTCAAAAGTAATTTTCCAAAACATCCAAAAAGTGTGATAGTCGCTTTAAAATAATTATTATTTGCCGTCTGGGTGACATATATCATTATTAACCTTACAACATAACACATGGCCAGGTCATGCAATTATAATATATGTCCATTTCGTGAGTCAGGCGATTACCACTTTCCGAAGTAACACTTGCAAATTGAATAAAAAAAACAAAGCTGCATTTTGCAGGCATTTCTTGTGTAATCCGATATACACTCAGTCTTTCATTTATCTATTTCAAAAAAAACACCAGTCTAATCTATCAAATGTCACACGAGTCAGATCTTTCCTTGGTCATTTGTCAGCGAGAGAAAAAAAAAAATGTGTGCGTCTTATTAACACCGAGAGGAGTTACTCTGGTGTGTAGCAGCAATGTAATATGTTTTATGTCTACTGTATGTTGTTTTTTTTATTTCTTATTTTTTTATCTGTAATTTAACAGGCTTAATGTTACTGTATGTAAGCCATCGTGGTCTCGAGTAGATACACAATTTATAAGAGTTCAAATTTTAAATTGTAGTGTCTTAACAAGACAGATGGGGTCTTTATTTTTTGGCAAAGAATTAATTTCAAGGAAATGGAAGGAAAAATGAGGTTAAATTCCAATCGAAAATGATGATCATATAGTTGGGGTTTTTTAGCAGTGGGAGAGAGAGAGATAGAGGCAGGGGAGAGATGTGTGGGGTGTGGGGAGAGAGAGAGAGAGAGTGGGCAGAGAGAGAGGGACAGGGAGGGAGAGAGAGGTGGGGAGAGAGAGGCGGGGGGAGAGAGGGGGAGATTTACTGTCTAACTGACACAAACTACATGTATGTAATTTTGGGACTAACATATGGTACAATTTTATTTCATTTTAATAATTCAAGTAGGGGTCTTTAGCAAATTCATCAAAATTCTGGGGTAAAATTAAAAAAAGTTGATTATATTTGTGTTGGATCCAATTTGAATCGGCCTACCTAACTGCCTTCATTAGAATAAATATAGACTCTAATTGATTCACTGTATCAAATTTCACTTGAAAAATAAGAATGAAGTACATGTATTTATATGATTTGCAAAATTCATTCAAATCAATAATTGAGTTGGCCTCATTTTTATAAAATTCATTCAAATAATTTATTAAGTTGGCCTAAAAATAGAATAAGTATAAAACCAATAAGCAAACAATTTTTTAAAAAATGTGAGACTCATCTATGCAGTGATTCATAATGCACAAGGGCATTAATTTTGGACAGGACCAGGAAATAGCCAAATTAATTTCTACAAGCAAATTCTCATAAAAGCATTATCTTGTCTGAATGACAATTCATCTCAAAATAAATCTCAACCCACCTCCATTTAACAAAAACAATTAAAACCCAAAATAGTTGGAGACATGTTCCCCTCCTAAAAAATGTACCCCACAAATAATACCTACATTGTTTCAAAATTTAGTTTTTTGGTAGAGGAGTATAAAGGGTTATTTTGAGTGTTACAATGTAATAAATAATAGAACATGATTATATTCTAATATCTTTGTTTCAACTGTGGTATATGTGTATTTACTGTGGTATATTAGTGTGGGGTATATAGCATATTGCACAGTTATTCTCATGTATAATTCATATTGCACAATTATTATTATGTATAACTCATATTTCAAATACAATATGTCAACTAAAAATTATATAAATATGTTAAAAAAAAAATCATTTTGAAAGAAATCATTAATTTTAGAGACCACAAAAAAAGAGTATTGTTTTCACCAGACAAGAAAAAAGACCACAATTTTTTTTTTTTTAAATATAAAAAAAAACAAAAGTAGCAGACATAACAACCAACAATTAATAATTTCAAATATAAATTTAAAAAATAACAAGAACTCAAAGATTTTTAAGCTAAGATTTTTCTCTCAGTCTCTTAATTTGTTTGAGGAACGATTTTTTGATTGACAGTCAAAAACCGTACACATGAACCTAACATGTAATCACGTGTTCTGATTCTCTTTGCGAGTGCCGAGTGGTATATATCCTCTCGTCATACTGGGAATTTATTCACCAAGATTATTCTCACAGAATTTCAAATTCTTATAATAATATCCGACAAAACGTTGCCGATTGATTAATTATTAATTAATGACGTCTGCAGTTATTAATAACGCGAGTTATTCACACTTTATTTTGATACCTTGAATAAGGACAATATTTACTATTTGTCAATCGGTGTTTTTCATCTGACAGGGGACGGACTGACTCTTAATCTGCACTTCGTCTAAATACTACCGGGTTATTTTAAAACAGAAATATGCCTGAATAACGAAATTTATAGGATGTGAGCCTTAAACGATTACTTACTCCATGCAGGAATATTAATAATCTCTACTTCTGCTTTTTTTTCATTACGTAACAGCCGGTTTATCGGGGTTTTCGCGTGAGAAGGCGACTGGCGAAGAGATTACGAAGTCGTAATAATATATGCAGTGGGATATATTTAGCTGCGAGTAAGGTGAGGGCTATTTCAAGACCTCGGCCCCAAAAAATATATATTCCTCCCTTATCCATTTATTCAACAATTATTACCTTTAATGTTATTTTATAAGAGTTACCGAACTTGAAATAATATTATAATATTCAATAACGAGTTACTATAGTATAAACAAAACAAGCCGTATTCATACCTTGCCTGACCAGGGTGGAATGGACCTGACTGGGGTATATACAGAGCACGCGCGTCTCGTGTGAATAAATGGCAGTGTTATAACGTGAAAATTAATCGGTAATATTATTGAGAATTGTACTCACAAGAATCTATTGTTTTCCGTTGCTGTGGTCTGCCCTGCTTGCGCCGTGACATCGTTCCGGCCTGAACATTAATATCTCAATACTTGTGTCCGTCTTACATCTGGACAAAGAGCAACAAATATGGCGGACCTCTCTTGAATCATGGGAAAGTAATAAAGTCTACACCTGCTTCTTCGTTTTTTCCTGTCTCACTTTTTTCTGTCTGTTAATTTAGTTATCACATATGATATGAGCAGTTAACGGTCATCTAAGGTCAACCCACTGACCGGCCCCGCTCCTGCCTATTAGCCGTGATTGACCAGTGTCCGTGCGCCGCGCGTTATAAATAGAACACAGTCAGGCGATTACGATCTGTAACGCACACTCTGTAAATCCATTGACCACACTCTTCGTAATAATATATAACATAACAAACACTTGAATCAAAAATCAAACATTACAAAACAAAAACAGTCAGGAAGTATGAACTAATAAGTAATATTATCCTTTATATTTCAAAAAAAAGTTAACAAAACTGGTAAATAGAGCGTTTGTCCGTGCCCCCTTCCTGTTGTAGTTCACACGTTATGAAGCTTTACGCCTAAGTCCAACAATCTTGAACCATTCGGTTTATATGTAATAAATATGTACATTAAAAAAACCCTGGCGCGAAGTGTTGGGTAGTCTGTCGTGTAACGGCCTCAATACTGCGGTCAACCGATGCGTACTGCCCTATAATGCGTTCTACAGTTAAGTGACCTCGTCGGCAGACCGGGCAAGTCTATTTCTACCGGGGGTGAGAGGTTGAGTAAGTCGTGGACAACGTTATATCATGATTACGTCTATACACATGTTGTCTGGTTGGAGGTTGTTTGTTGATCTCCCGACTCGAGCCACATTACTTGTATAGATTATTCATGTTACTCGCCTGTACAAGAAGTATACGGGTCGTCGCTTTATATATCTGCTCGGCTCTCCTAGTCAACTATAGGTAAATAGCCTTATATATTGCACGGTGAATGGCCAACAGTGTAGGTAATATTAGGCAACATGCATCAATGGGTCTACTATTTCAGCCTTAGGGCACACGGTTCGTGTTGTACTGTCTCGTTCGACAGGACATTACGGCGATTATACGTAACCCACCATAACACCACTGCCCACTAACCTACTGTCCCGATAAGGTCATCGCTTGACCCCTATCGGGTTAATGTCAATAAAGTGACCCCCTGTGATGTAGGCCGGTATGGCTTATCATAGTGCAGTAGTCATCGGACTTAATGTATGCATGTATGTATGCCTGCTTGGCCTACTTAATATAGGCGATAACATTGACACGAGAAGCTCATTAGTGTACGGGTCGTAGAAAGGGACAACAATGATGGCAAAACACTCTAAATAATTATCAAAAAATCACTGAATTATTTAATTCACACATAAACAAAGGTAGATAATAAATGCAGTTTTAAATTTCGCCATTATCTCGTGTTAAGAAGATGATCACGCAACAAAAAGAGTTCTAACATCGCATGTGGGCGGAGCTCAGTTTACATATACATACGGCGTGAAGAGACTTCGGCTTCATTCTTCTTGCAGAAGTCGGGGGAATCAAGACAAGCTGAAGTGCCAAACGATAACCATAGATTGTCTGAGTAGACCTTGAATGCACATACTTGGGTTATTACGACAAGTTGGGTCTCGAGCAGAATGTTTTTATCTGTAGTGGGTGCATTTTAACAACTTGAAGAACCATCTTTAAAAGTTTTATAAATTAAATGATAGCCTACAGGCTGGCCTCTAAATCACTAAAATTGAGTAGATTCTTTTGCGCAGAGAAAGAGTTGAAAGGATTTGCACAGTATTGGGGGAATTTGATTATAATGAGTTGTTTTGGTTTTAAGGTTTTTATTTTGTAATATATAGATATTTTTTATTTTTTTTATTTTTTATTCTTTCTTTGGTGTCTGGGTACTTTCGTCTATTCGTGTAATATTAGGCCTACATTTAAAAATAGAAAACGGGCATTTTATTTTACACACAAACATCTTGTCAGAGTTCTTTATTTATTTTTATTTTAATTCATCAACAAATATTTTAATCGAATTAAATACGTCATTCATTCATTCTTACACATATTCATTCATTCTTACATATATTCATTCATTCATTCACCCATCTATCCATCTTGTCGGAGTTCTTTATTTTTTATAATTTATCAAAAAATATTTTAAGCGAATTATATGTCATTCATTCATTCATTCTTACATATATTCATTCATTCATCCATCTATCCATCCATTTTATCGAAGTTCTTTATTTTTTATAATTTATCAAAAAATATTTTTAACGAATTAGATGTCATTCATTCATTCATTCACCCATTCATTGATTGAATCATTCATTCATTTATTCATTCATCCATTCATTTATCCATTCTTACATATATGCATTCATTCATTCATTTACAATTACTTGTTCGACAATTTAAGAGAAATATTTTTAATAATATAGCGTTTACAGACTTATATTATTTTAAATAATCCAACCTCGTGGGTTTTCTCCGGGTCCTCCAGTTTCCTCCCACTGCTAAAGACCCCTACGCGCAAACCAATTATTGAAATACAATTGAACCATGTGTTAGTCCCGAAATGACCTAGTTTGTGTCGAGTGGACGTTAAACCCCATCTCTCTATCTCTTACATTCTTAAGAATATCCAACATAATGTGGGAAGCACATATAGTAACGGCTTAAGAACCCCACCCACCCCGCTTCCCATCCCCAACCCCCGTCATTTGGGGGGGGGGGGGTATGGTTGACACGTACGCATGCGCGTTGGGGTCTTTAGCAGTGGGAGGAAACCGAAGGACCCGGAGAAAACCCACGTGATTGGACAGGCGATCCTACTCCTTGTCACATATACAACGGGGGAATGGAAACCACGCAAGTTGACTCAATGACAGACCTTATGATACAACGCACACGCGCTAACCATTCGGCCATCCAACCTCCCTGTACAAGATAACGGTATTATATTCTAAATAGTAGCCACGGTGGCTAAGTGGGTAAGACGCTTGCTCGCTAGCCTGGAGGTTGCGTGTTCGATCCCTCATTGTCCGAGAAAGTTCATCGATATTTTCTGACGTGGTTTCCCCTTGTCAGTGGTGCAGGACGGAGGGTCTGACAAGAACAGCTGTAGTCGTTCGGGTGGTACGAAATACCTAGGTCCCGTTTATACATCTGCGTGTACTATAATTCGATATAAGAGTAGTCCATAGTGCCCGTTTTCATTATTCCAGTCAGAGAGAGAGAGAAATGGGGTTTAACGTCCACTCGACACAAACTAGGTCATTTCGGGACTAACATATGTTTTTTTTTATTTTATTTACATAATTCGCTTGCGCGTAGGGGTCTTTAGCAGTGGGAGGAAACCGGAGGACCCGGAGAAAACCCACGAGGTTGGACAGGCGACCCTACTCCTTGCCACGTACAACCGGGGAATCGAAACCCCGCAAGTTGACTCAATGACAGGCCGTATGATACAGCGCGCGCATGCTAACCATTCGGCCATCCAACCCCCCTAATTCGATATAAGAGTACTCCATACTGCCCGTCTTCATTATTGTAGTCGGAGCAAAACAGTATAACGACGTTCAACCCCCATTTCAGTTCATTTTTACAACTCTGGGTTCTGTTTCTCGAAATCTTAAAGGCTCAATACCACTCTTGTTGTAACTGAATAATATGTCCCAATCTTTATTCTGGTCAACAAATTGTACTATTTTACAATATTCCAATTAATTGATGATACAAATTTCATCTTAACACACCTAATTTAAAATTTTTGAAAAATTCAACATAATGGTTTGAAACGTCTAACGTAAACCTTTTCAAATGAAACTTCGATTTAAAAATATTTTCTAACCCTCTGGACAAGTAAAATAGGATGTAATGGATAATTTACACAACAGGTAGGACACTTAAACATCTAGTACTAAGATAGAGATATTATTTATTTTCTGGAGCTTTCAAGCCAGCAAGAGTGTTATTGTCCCTTTAACTAAAGATAAAATCCAAATATTAGTAGATATTTCAATTTTGATTGGCTAAGCACTAAAATCAATCTAATATTATCCAATCAAATTACTAAAATTTGGATTTTATCTTAGTTAAAATTTCGTGAAACAGGCCCCAGGTCTGTTGTATATTCCTAAAAATAAAATTTGAAAATCAATCCATTATGGAATTCAAAAGAGAATGCCAGAAGTCACGAAATATAAAACTGATAACCAGGGGCCTGTTTCACGAAATTTTAACTAAAGTTAAAATCCAAATTTTAGTAATTTGATTTTAGTGCTTAGCCAATCAAAATTGAAGTATCTACTAAAATTGGATTTTATCTTTAGTTAAAATTTCGTGAAACAGGCCCCTGGCCTGGAGTTCACAAAGCATTCAGACTAAAGTTAAGAATTTACTCAACTTTCAATCACTGTTTATGAGAAATATCTTTGATCCAGAAACACAAAACTTTGCACATAGTTTCTTATTGATGTATTCGATACATTAAAACAACAAAAGTCTTATAAAGGGATATATTTTAGTTAAAATAAGACGAACAATTTTGAGTAAATCCTTAACTTAAAGGGACTATCCCGATTTGAACAGAGTCTCAAAAATAAAAGTCCGAGTACGTATGAAATTTAAGCACCAAAATATAGAGGAATGGTTTATTTACCTTGTCTCAAAATTTCAGCTCAAAATAATGAGTGGTTTGGACGTGAACGTCAAAACTGCTTATGCGGACACGTAACCCTTTTAAGATTTCGGGTCATTTTTTCGTTGTGTGACCTGATAATCGATTCCCGTTCCTTTAGAGGTCTATTCAATGCATGACTCATGTGTTGTACTTGATAACGAAAGGTAAATTTCACCTACACGTTATTTTTATAAAATAAAAGTCTGGTTTTATCTAGACACCGTATATTAATACAGCTTGGGACACCGGTCTCCATTTCCAGATGAAGACTGACGGGTTTAAGTTGGAAAACATATTGTTGAGCTAGTTGCTCGGCCATTACGTAGAGGATTTTAAGGGATTTTAACACAAAATTAAGCAGTTTTATTCTCTAAAATATTATCGAGATTGGCCTTTTAAGTCTGAGTAGCTGTTGTCAACTTAGGGTCTGGTATTTTTTCCCATAGGTTACGCTTCACTTAAAATGTGGGGTTTGGGTGTACGTAGAATTGTATATTATATTAATGCATGTATATATTATGGGGTCAAAGCCGAATAAAAAAATATGCAATATAATATGTAACATCTTAGTGATGAAGTCAAGTGAAACCAGGCTACGAATAAAGAGTAAAGTGATCCACACCCATCAATTAGATGGTATTTTTGTAATGATAAACACGAGAAAAGGCGGAAGTGAGAGAGAGAGAAAGAGAGAGAGAGAGAGAGAGAGAGATGGTTTAATGTCCACTGACACAAACTAGGTCATTTTATTTCAATAATTCGATTGACGTTGGGGTTTTTAGCAGTGGGGGGAAACCGGAGAGAGATAATATGACTTGGGGTTCAATTTTATTTCAATAATTCGCTTGCGCGTAGGCGTCTTTAGCAGTGGGAGTAAACCGGAGGACCCAGAGAAAATCCACGAGGTTGGACAGGCGACCCTTACTCCTTGTCACGTACCACCGTGGAATCGAAACCACGCCTGTTGAATCAATGACAGACCTTATGATACAGCGCGCACGTACCAGCAACAAAGATAAAACTTATCGGTTCGAGTAAACCATTGTTGAAAATTTATAGGTTTCATGACATAAACACTGGGTAGTCATTTCAAAATAAACCGGAAAATAACTTTAACCACTAGAGGGTCCA